CCCCCCAGACTCTGTGACATTCTCTCTATGCTTTGTTAGTATAAGGGCTCTTTCCATAGGCTTGTTGGGACTGGGGGGGGGATACAGGCCACCTGGTACCAGGATAGGTACAGAAGGGGGCACAGCTGGGGAGGTTTATGCAGGAAAAAATGATGTTCCCCTCAGTTGTTATCCCCCATGTGTCCACAGGATGGCGCCCAGACGGAAGGAGGCAGCAAGACCAAGCAGGAGAGCGCCTGGCTGTTCCGCCTCTGGTATACCTTTGACCACAAGTATCTTGTCATTGCGTGGCATGACCTTATCAGCCAAGAGGGCACATGGGCGTCACACGGCTGCTAAGTGGATAATTTTTGCCGTCATGCAGGCCTGCTTCGCTGGCCCGCATTCAGACTGCCTTATCGGGCAGTCAGAGCAAACATCATGTTGTTCTGCGTGGTCCTGAGAGCCGTCGGCGTCTGCATGCCGAATTTCTGACCTCTGTGACAGGGACATAGAGGTTTAACTGGCCAAAAAGCCTGGAGTTCTCTGGTCAGTCTTCTGGAAGCGGCCCGGGTCATGCTAGGAGGCCTATCGTCACTTTGTGGCCCGGCCCGCCCTGGAGACTCGGGGAGGTCGTGGACTGCTGACCCCCCCCCCCCCCCCGCCTTCTCCACACCTGTGACATCCCGGGGCTGTTTTCCCTCCATGTTATCGGGATCCAGCCCTTTATAGGGCGGCAGTCACCCACATAAAGCCTAATTCGGTCTTTAGATGGCAGCGCCTGAATTGCCATACGTGTGCAGACAAACAACCTTTTAAGGCAGTTTTGTTTTCGTTCCGTGGGTGTTGGCCTCCATTCGCTACCCGTGGGCCTGATGATTAGAAAGCTGAAGTTTTTTTGAGAGGAACTAACGCTTCTCTCAGCGTGGTGAGATTCTCCCATGGGCTGATTCTCTGATTAGTTCCTCTGAGGCTCTGAATGCTTTAAAAGGATTTCTTCTTGGATCGTTTGAATCCGGGCATTCAAATATGTGTTTTTTTCTGGACTACAGAAAAGATTCACAAAGTTAATCGTTTGCCATTACCCCTCCCCCACCCGACCCCCCAGGCTGTCATTTTTCACATATCTCCGTAACTCCACTGCGTCTACCCTGAATGACAGACCTCTGTTGATTTTGATTGGATGAGTGCCATGTCAGTCACTTAACAAGGAGCCTGATTGGTCTGTAGAGGTTGAAAGGCCAAGCTCTTCTTGCTTCCCCATTCGCTGGTCCTGCTCATAGGTGGGGCCACCCGCAGCCTGGGTGTCAGCTAGCTGTGTCTGTCACGCCCTCATCCCTGGCTCTCTATTATTTTATTTTTATCAGCTTAATTTTATCATTTTTAAACCTCTGCAGATGTGTCCTGCAGACTTTGTCAGTCACAACGGATCACAGAATCTTTGGAAGCCTGTAGGATGAGCATCATTTCTGAGATGATCTGTGAGGCTGGTTCTGGATTCACCATCAGAGCCAGCATCTCCAGGCCTCGTTCTGCCTGCCCACAGGTTCTCCGCTCATCCTTCATCTGTAACTTCTGCCTCTTTGCGCTCAGTCTGCGACTGGCTCCCAGGGACACATGGGGGGGGGGGGGGCTGGGGCAGTGGCTCCTGCTTGGCTCCTGACACGGCCCAGTGGAGCTCTCCTGGGGGGCTGTCGTCACCCCCTCGGCACACTCTGACGGAACAGAGTGCTGTTTGTTCGGCCGGCGGGCCGGGCCCCCCCACAGCCAGCCATAATATTCTCTTTGGCGGTGCCCCCGTCTGCTCATGGGCTCCAGTGCTGCTGACTCTCTGGGTGGGCTCCCCTTTAGCATGGAGGGCCTCTGATGGAGCCACGGGGGGGGGGGCTCAGGTGCCCATTATGCTCCTGCTGTTGATCTGTGCTCTTTGCGCAGTTCACTGGGAACTGAGCTCACTCCCAGTATTCCCTGCCGCCCCCTGAACCGCCCGCCTTATTGGGTGGGGTGGGTATGCCCACGCCGCCGACCCGCCAACCTCTGGGACTCCTTGACTGTGTGCCCCAGCTACCTGAAGCCCATCCTGACGCACAGCGGCCCCCCCCTCACCACCACGCTGCCAGCATGCTGTGGGCCTGTGGCACGCTGCCTCACCAGCCCGCAAGCGTACGAGGCGAGTATGACACCCGCACACACACACACACACACACACACACACCCGCACACACACACCTACCTACGCACACACACAC